AACCAGGATGGACGCATGGCCTCCATCTCTGGCTCTCCAGAGATCATCGGTCAATGCGACCAAAGCAGTTTCTGTGCTGTAATTTTGCTCTCTTAAATTTTACTCCGATCTAACAGTTGGCTCTTGTAATATGAAAAATTTTGTGGCCAATTATAATTATACCAACTCACAAAGCTCACAACTCTTCACAAAACTCTTCACAAAACTCTTAACTTTGCTATTAAAAAAGAAAAAATATGAAGTTAAAATGTTTAGGCACTATGGGTAAGCTAGAATTCCACACAGATGAGAGGGTTGGTTGGTACATAAGAGTGGGGCCACCTACTCAGGATATGAAGTACAGGAGAGGGAAATCTCTATCTATGTGCTTAACATACAAAGACCTTCCTTCAAGAATGCAGCAAGTTAATAATCTGTGTGGAAAGCTAGCTACTTTGGAGGCTGCATTAAAACTTGACAACCCCTTTAATATTCTACAGCGTGAAGTGCTAGCATTTGAGAAGATAGAAGTGGAATCTATTTCTCATTTCTCTAATCTTTCTGCTATTAAAGTAATAGCAAATTATTTTTGAATATCAAAAGGAAGAAACAAAAACCTGAAATACAGTACAAAATAAAAACATTCTGGTAAATAAGACATTATATACAAGCAATTTAACAAGCAAGAAAGGATAAAATATAGCTCTGGATACAAAAGCACATCACTTACCCACAGTCTGGAGCAGGGCACCACCTACAATCAGGGTCTGCAACAAGCCATCGTCTAAGCATAAACTCTTCATATTTTTCCATCAAGATGTCATCATTTAAAATTAATCGAATGTCATGGGGATTAAATCGCTCAGAGCATTCTGGACAGCTGATATTAACTCTGCTCTCTGAGATTTCTATCCGGAGATACTGACGCAAGCAATCCACACAAGATCTATGGTGACAAGTCATTATTTCCGGAAACCTCTCCTTAGAGTGCCGCAAAAGGCACAAGGGACATTCTATGAAGTCTCCCGTCTGCTTACTACAGATGGCCGTTCCACTGTCTGATGACATATAGGCAGATAAAATAGAGGTCTTGTCTGGGCATATTTCTGAGTGTATAGTTTCAATACTTGCAATCCCGTCAACGCCACCATTTACATCCTTGGCTTTATGTTTCGTATCCCTTTTCCTTCTAAAAAGAGATCCCAGTGAAATTCTTCTTTTCTTTGGTGCCTTTTTAATGGAAGGCAAGCTTACAGAGGAGGCAGTAGATTGCAGGTCCCTATCAGAACCCATTTGCCGATGTAAACTCATGGCTGCAACATTCATCAGAAATGGATCAAAGAATATATGCAGCTATGACCATTTTAAAGACAAAAGCACTATTGAAAAGCAGCATATTTAAGTCACAGAAGGAAAGATAGCTTAAGTCTTGTTATGCATGATCAGATCTTGTTCATTCAGCAAATTCTTCACAATATATAATCCACCCCAAAATGCTCCTCAGCAATTCTGGAAGAGAGAGAAGAGAGACATAAAAAATGACGCCCCATTCATTCAGATCCATTGTTATTTGCAAAGGACTGGTATTAGTCTGCTTATTCATTTTACAATTACCTAATCCTCCACCCCACCTTCTTTGCTTCATGCACCTGTTGCATTTCTGTCAATTAGCAAGAGAGCAAGTAAATGAAATTTCCAGATTCCCAGTTGTCATTTTAAAAGAAAAAAAATGGTAGTCATGGGGCAACATATGTAGGTGCTATTCTATTTTGCAAGAAAGGGCTGTTATCACTTTTTCAAGATTTTTTACCAGTGAATTGCCAATCCTAAAATTGATACTATCAAAAGAAAAAAAAATCCAAACAGACATTTCTTAAACTTTACAAATGGGAAATATTTGCAGCACCAATTAAAATAAAAAAATAAAAATCTAGTGTTCTGGTTATATGTCTAAAGTTAAAGATACCTTTCAAGATTTCAGTTCTGAGTAACTGCACCAATGCATTATTCTTGATAATAGTATGAAAGTGGATTGCCACATCTTTCTCGCCAAAACTGAACACAATGGGACCAAGCTTGGTGCAAGCCAGAAAATGAAGATTGGAGGGAGGGGAATCCTACGTGTTTTTATGTGACAGGGGGTTGAACAATGGACCAGAAGACTAGTGGCTGTTTCAATCGAAACCCTCTACAACCTGCCTAACCCATCACTTGGGCAAAAGCAGAGCGTAGCCTATCTTCCATTTACCAGTACCCACATATAAGCAAACACTTGCAATGTAAAAGGAAGCCAGAAACAAACATGGAGACACAAACACAGTAACAGAATAAAATGCAGATGTATTTGATAAAGAAGATGGAAAGAATTCCAGAAATTGTGCCCTAAACTGAGTAGTTTTTTTGATAGTATAATAATGTTAGGTGCTGCTTTCTTGAAAGATTTTCCACAAACTTACACACAGTAATATGTACCTTTTTAGTTTCTGTTGTGGCTTTTCAGGTCAAAGCTATAATTATAAGGAGAAAGAGATGAACAGGAAATCAACTTAATAGTGACATCTAAAATGTCTATCATATAGAGAAAAAAATTAAATTACTGATTTCTTCTATTACTCCTTCCAAACCAAACCAAAACCAAAAATCTACAGCTATGAATTTGTGAGGAATAAACATTTAGTTTAATTGTCTACATATGGAGAAAGGAAAGTAATTTAGAAATTCTGAGAAAGACACAATATGCTTCTCATCTAAAACAGTAATTAACCTTTATTTCTTACAACTAAAAATGTTTCCCTGCACTAATAAATTCCTTAAAGAAAGTCAAATTTCTAAATAGGTCATTTGTTACAGTAGTAGTAATTGAAGTTCAGAAATAAAGGGAAGAGACTATCATAATACATCCTTCCTAAGTTATACTATAGCCAAGAAAAAAGGTAATAATAGATCAATTATATATTGTGCAGTTAAGAAACTAATTAAGGAACCATATTCAACATGCGAGAACATGTCCATTACAGACAAGACTATTGGTCATTTATTTTAAGCCTGGAAGCCATGAGGCTTATTATACAGGTAATCCTTGACTTACAACAGTTCATTTAGTGACCATCCAAAGTTACGACGTAACTGGAAAAAGTGACATACGACCATTTTTCACACTTGAGACCATTGCAGCATCCTCATAGTCACGTGATCAAAATTCAGACCGTTGGCAACTGACTCATATTAATGACAGTTGTCCCAGGTCATGTGATCCACCTTTGCAACCATCTGACAAGCAAGGTCAATGGGAAACCAGTTCCACTTAACCAGTTCCACTTAATGTTGCTAATTCAACAACTTCAGTGATTCACTTAACTGTGGTAAGGAAGATCATAAAATGGGGCAAAACACACTTTACAAATGTCTCATTTAGCAACATAAATCTTGGACTGAATTGTGGTCATAAATCAAGGACCACCTGTATTTTCAGGAATAAATTGCACTTTTCCTCCCCCATCCCCCCATTCAAAATTGCATTTAAAAATATCCCTTCATACACAATACATTTAATATTGACATTTAATTACTAATAACAGCATTAGAATCCTTGCAACAAAATCAGAAAAGTTTCCAAAGAAATGGGATGACACAATTATTCTGATTCTTAACATGCAAAGTGTAATTTGAAGAGTGTTCGAAAACTCCAGTTAGTCCAGAACGCAGCCGCGCGAGCGATTGTGGGTGTTACCTAGGTACACCCACGTCACACCTATCCTCCGCGAGCTGCATTGGCTTCCCATTAGTCTCCAGACACGCTTCAAAGTGCTAGTCGTTACTTTTAAAGCATGGTATCGGACCTGGCTACTTGA